TGCCTGCTGTAAATCTATACAATAAAAGCCTAAGCGAGCATTACGGCAGAACGACCAGAACGACCAGTTGCTATGATGTGCACTGACCACCAGGGGGCAGATGCACAACACAGGAGCTGCCCCCTAGTGGTCAGTGCATTCCTACAGGAGGAGCGCCACTCAGCCAGAAGCTGGACGCACAGCTGGTGAGCACAGGGGCGGTGGTGGGAGACTCTCCCACCTCCACAGCAGTGCTAAGGTGCAGCAAGCCAAGTGGTAAGGAGCAGCGAGCAGGCAGGTGGTAAGAAGCATGGGGTCCCGGGCTGTGAGAAGGATGTCTGACTGCAGGCTTAGGCCTGATCCCCGGGAGCAGGCCTAAGCCAGCAGGTGGACATCCCCTGAGGGCTCCCAGACTGCGAGAGAGCACAGGCCGGGCTGAGGGGACACCCCCCTCCAATGCACGAATTTCATGCACCAGACCTCTAGTATGTATATATTAAAAGGAGTTTCCAGTCTCTTATGTGACACCTAAAATGACCAGGAGAAAATAAAAATCACTCATTACCCCCATAGATCAGGAAAATCACAACTTGAATGAGAAAGGACCATCAATAGATGGCAACATCAAGATGAATCATATATTAGAATTGTCTGACAAGATTTGTATAAGTTACAAAAATGCTTCAGTGAGCAATTATGAATTCTCTTGAATCTAACTGTAAAGCTAGATAATCTCACTAAAGAAATAGGAAAGATGCAATCATACATGCTACAACATGGCTGAATCTAGGAAAAACTATGCTAAGTGAAATAAGCCTGTCACAACACACACGCACACATTTATGAAATGTCTAGAACAGGCAAATCTATAGAGATTGAAAGCTGAAACTAGAGTGGTATAAGGAGGGCCTATTAGTGAGTATAGGTTTCCTTTGGGAATGATGAAAATTTTCTAAAATTAGATTGTGGTGATGTTTGTACAACTCTATAAACAAACTAAAAACTATCAAATTATATACTTTATGTAAACAAACTTTATGATATGTAAATTGTATTTCAATATAAATTGTAATTTAAGTTAATAATTAAAATTCGAAAAAGCAATGTAAGTTATCAAACTAAAAAATACAGCAACTGATACTTAAAAAAAGACACTTGCTAGATGGGCTCAATAGTACAGTGGAAATAACAGAGGAGAGAAAGCAATAAACCTGAGGACAGATCAATAGGATTTGCCCTGAACAACAGAGATAAAATAGACTGAAAAAATGAGCAGAGCCTCAGGAACCTGTAGGACAATAGCAACAGATCCATCATCAAAGTCCCAGAAGGATATGAGAAAGAGATTAGGGCTGAAAGAGTATTTTAAGAAAGAATGGCTGAACACTTCCCAAATTTTTCATGTGCTGAAAGAAAAGAACTGTCAACCATGAATACTGTATCCAGTGAGGAGTGAAGGGGAAATAAAGACATTATCAGACAAGAGAAAACTAATAGAATTTGTTGCTAGCAGACCTATCCTAACAAACTGGCTAAAAGAAGTTCTTCAAATATAGGAAATGATAAAAGAAAGAACCAGGCAGGAAGAAAGTGTAACAGGAAAGTGCAGAAATATGGACTTCTCATAAATCTTATTAATCATATTTAATGGTTGAAACAAAAATTATTCACCACCTTATGACTGAGAAAAAGATACTTAAAATATTTAATGGTAAAAAAATGAATGATTTCCTCCTAAGATTAGGAACAAGAGGATATCATACTCACTGCTCTTATAAGTTCTAACCATTATAATAATGCAAACAAGGCACACAGATTGGAGAGGAAGAAGTAAAACTGTCCCTATTTGCAGATGATATGATTATGTATGTCGAAAATCTCAAGGAATCCACAAAAATGAAAAGACACTCTGAAAAAGTGAGTACAGCAGGTTCTAGAACATACAATGCAATTACATTTCCTTTTTTCTTTTACATTTCTATTTACTAAAATCTAATATATAGAAAACAAAATTTAAAACACAGTAACATTTATAATTGCTTCAAAAATTAATACTTAGGGATAAATCCAACAAAACATGTACAAAATTACTAAATGTTGATGAAATATATCAAAGACATAAATGAAAGGAGAGATACCAAGTTCACAGACTGGAAAACTCCAAGTAGGTCAAGATGCCAGTTCTTCCCAAATTGATCTATAGGTTTAATACAATCCTTATCAACACATCAAGGAGTTTTATAGGCATAGACCATCTTCTTCTAAAATGTATATGAGAAGGCACAGGGACTACCATAGCTAAAACATTTTTAAAGAGAATGAAGTGAGAGGAACCACTCTAGCAGATGATAAAGCTTGTTAAATAGCTACAGTGGTCACCATGTTATCTTTGGAGGGATAGACACAAAGATCAGTGGAACAGCTAGAGACATACAACTGTAACTAAGTGATTTTTTTTCCCAAAGGTGTAAAAGCAATTCACTGAAGTAGGCTTTTCAACTAATGGTGCTGGAGCAACTGTACTTATCTCAGAGAAATAAAAACTTATGTTCACACAAAAACCTGTACAAAAATGTTCACAGTAAAAATAAAATGTTCACAGCAGCTTTATTTTTAAAAGCCCACAACTGCAAACAACTCAAATATCCTTTATACCCACCAATGGATAAATGGTTAAACAAACTGTGGTACATCTGTACCACAGAATACTACTCAGCAATAAAGAGGAATGAACTATTGATACATGCAACTTGAATGGATTTCAAAAAAATTATGCTGAATTTTTTAAAAAGCCAATCTTCAAAGGTTATATAATGCACGGTTCCATTTATATAACATTCTTGAAATGACAAAATTATAGAGAAAAAGAGCACATTAGGGATTTGGGACTTGAAGCAGAGGGAGCTGTAACTATATAAGGAAAGCATAACGAATCCTGTATCATGACTGTGGTGGTCAAATGAAACTACTCATGATAAAATTGCACTAAATATGTGCACGTACACACAAATGAGTGCATGTATAACTTGAAATCTGAATAAGGTTGATGGACTGTCAATGTGTGATACTGTATAATAGTTATGCAAAATATTACCTTTGGGAGAAATGAGGTAAAGGGTATATGGAAATCTATTATTTCTTAGAACTGCATGTAAATATATAGTTATCTCAAAAAAAAATTAAAACAAAGCAATGATCCAATATACAAGGATGGGCAAAAAGTAGGTTTACAGCTCTAAGAACACAAAACAGAGTTTATTCTTGTATTAGTATAATCCTGTCTTTTTTCATATAAACAACTGTAAACCTACTTTTGTCAACCCCTGTATATATCAAGAGTTACAATCATGGTCATAACTTTATGAACTAAGCTTGGCAACTTCAGTTCAGAAATTATCAGTCATTTGTCTACTCAACACCCATGTTAGGCACTGTTCTAGGTGATAGAGATTTAGGGCTGAAAAAAGCAGGAAATATGAAATATAAAAATAGCTCAATGAATGAGAAAGGTCATTACATCTATAATCACACATGTGAGAACTAGACCCACATTAAATTTCTAACAATGAAAGTAATTTTGGGAATATTATATACTCACTAGGGGCCCGGTGCACAAAATTCGTGCACTGGGTGTGTGTGTGGGGGGAGTGTCTCTCAGCCCAGCCTGCCCCCTCTCACATACTGGGAGCCCTCAGGCATTGACCCCCATCACACTCCAATCGCAGGGTCGGCCCCTTGCCCAGGCCTGACGCCTCTGATAGAGGTGACAGGCCTGGGCAGGGGACCCTCGTTTCCCCCCATCACTGGTTCTGCCCCCAGCCCAGGCCTGATGCTTCTGACCCAGGCGTCAGGCCTGGGCAGGGGACCCCCATCTCCTTCCCATCACCAGATCGGCCCCCCGCCCAAGCCTGACGGCTCCACCAGAGGTGTCAGGCCTGGGCAGGGGACCCCCATCTCCCCCTGATCACCAGCTTTTGGGTGGCTTCTGGGAGGCTTCTGGGGCTTCTGGGGCCAGCCTGCAGCCCAGGATTGGATCCGATCACTGGCGTCAGGCAGGCAGCTTTTGGGGTCGCACATGGGGGGCCTGGATGGCAGATCTTGCACTGGCAGCTGCACTGCCCTGCCCTGTCTGCAGTATTCAAATTAGCTGCCATCTTTGTTGATGGTTAATTTGCATCTCATGCTGATTAGCCAATAGGAGGCATAGCGAAGGTATGGTCAATTACCATTTTTGTCTATTATTAGATAGGATGTTACCCCAATAGCTTTAATTACAATTTAAAAAAAAT